TGGACCTACCTGTCAAATTAAAGTTCTACAAAACTATCTTCGAGCAAAAGTAACTATTACTGTGGACCAGCCTTTGAAAACAGGTTGTTTCTTTAGTATTACTAACCGGGTCACCTTTAGATATGAAGAACTTCCTGTTACTTGTTTTCTGCATGGATGAGTAGGTCATCTATATCGTARATGTTCCCAACCTCTTCCTTATATCTCTGGGAAAACTTATGATTAGTTCTTTAACTAACGTATTATGAAATTTCTAGGACCTTGGCTTAGAKCTGAAATCCCTATTTGTCGTAATTGGGTCTGTCCTTCCTTTCGAAATTTCATTCAGTTACCCCATCCTCTAACTCCAACCCCTCATCCTGTGGTTAACCCCACCACTCCTTTTTCTCAAGATAATCAACACCAGTCTGATTTAACTCTTGCTCGTATCACTTCTTTTGGTTCCACTTTGGACCCCAATGCTTCTAGTCACGCTTTTGTTCGAATTTCTACAAATACTTTTCATCTAGCTTCTCAGGCTCAATCTCATCTCTCTCAATTATTCTCTGATACTCCTGGAGCTTCTTCATCCTGAGGCAAATGACCTCGTTTTGATCTTCTTGAAAATCTGGAAGTAGATGATACTCCCTCATTACCCATCTATGATAGACTGGAAACTTCGAACCAAAGTAACCAAACTTTTCATATCTTGTCCATAGTACCTTCTACACAAACCAATCAAGATTCTCTGAGCAACACTGCACTTTCTTCAATTGCACATGACGAAGATCTAGATCACGGGTCAGAAAGGGTTAGTTCTCTTATCCTTATCTCTACCTGTTACAGGGCGGTGGTGGCTGACCCAAAACAGCCACAAGGCACTTAATGTTAATCTTGAGTTGGAACTGTTGAGGAGTAGCTCGCCCCAAGTCAGTTCAAGGCTTAGGAATTTTGGTTAAAAAATATAACTCTGGTTTTATTTCCTTAATGGAAACCAAAATTCCTGTGGATAAATGGATAGTTTAGCCAATCGCTTGCAGTATTCTAACAACTATTTAATTCCCCCGAAAGGATGTGTTGGAGGACTAGCAATCTTTTGGAAGTCTGGTTTTTTGGTCTCACACTTTTTGTTTGATTCGAGGTATGTGTTTCTCAAAATATCTTTGCTGCCTCTTTTAGATAATTGGATTCTAGGCTTTATTTATGGACCGTTAGTTAAAGCACAAAGAAACAAATTCTGGTCACAAATGAATCAAAATCTACCTTCTTTTAATCTTCCAGTGCTACTCATAGGTGACCCTACCTCTTCTGAGTCTACTAATAAACTTACTTCCGGCCAATATTGGAATATGATTTTAAATAATAATCTGATGAAAATAAGTATTCAAGGAGGAAATGTTAGCTGGTCAAATAAAAGACATTTATGGTTAATTTCAAGAACTTTGGATAGAGTCCTAGCCACCCTTGATTGGATCTTTGGTTTTTCTCATGCTTCCTTAATTATAAATGCTAAGTGGGGCTCTGATCATCATCCTCTAATCCTGAATACCACCTCCAATCCACCAATTCCCTAAACCCTTATATTTTTATGAAATGTGGCTCACTAATAATTCTTGTGATGTTGTGATTCAAAATAGTTGGAACTCACAATTCCAAGGTTATGCTGCTTATAGATTAGCAAAGAAAATGAATCATATGAAATCTGGTCTTGTCCAATGGTGGAAAGAGAAATTTGTAGATCTTCAAAAGAAATTGAGGGAAATAGAACAACAAATTATTCATGTAGAACAATCACCTCCTTGGGATCAGGACAAACTCTCACAGTCATATAAACTCTATGATGATACCCAATCACAGATAGAAAGTTTTTGGAGACAAACATCCAGGCAATTCTAGTTATCCATAGGGGACAAAAATTCCAATTTTTTCCACAAAAGTACTATTTGCAGACAAAAGAAGAATGCAATTCAAGGAGTAAAAGGCCATAATAATGCTTGGGTGATAGATCATAAGGATATCTCGGAGGTTTTTATTAATTATTTCTAAGACTTATTCTCCCACCAACCTCCACCTGATTTATCCTTTGTGTCAGATCTTTTTACTCCTCTTGTCTCAGAGGAGGAGAATAACTTCCTTTCAGCTATCCCTTCTGAAGATGAAGTTAAAATAGCTTTATTCATTATTGGTAGCTTAAAATCTCCTGGACCAAATGGAATGCCAGCCTTAGTCTATAAAAAGTATTGGGATCTGATGCACTCAGAAATTATAGACTTTGCTCAAGAATTCTTTAGGAACAAGAAACTTCTAAAAAGTTTCAATCATACTTTTCTATGCCTAATTCAAAAAAAAAAAAAAAAAAAAATTGTACTAAAGTCCAGGACTATCGTCCCATCAGTCTTTGCAATGTCCTCTACAAAATCATCTCAAAAATCTTAGCTTCCAGAATCCGTACAATACTGGATAAATGCATATCCCCAATCCAAGTTGCTTTTGTACCTAGACGTCAAATAATGGATAATACCATAATAGTTCATGAAATGTTCCATTTCTTAAAACAGCATAAACGGGGTACAGGCTACGCGGCAATCAAATTAGATATGTCCAAAGCCTACGACAGACTTGAGTGGTCTTTTCTTCTTAAAGTCCTAAAAGCCTTAGGTTTTTCTGAAGACTTCTGTCAAATCATCCATGAATGTCTTTCTACCGTCTCCTACTTCGTCCTCATCAATGGTACTTCAGAAGGCAAAATTCAGCCTTCAAAGGGTCTTAGACAAGGGGATCCTTTATCCCCCTACTTGTTTATCCTAGACATGGAAGCCCTTACCCGATTAATCATCAAAGCAAAAATAATCAACAGATTCAAGGTATTAAACTGTCTACTAGAGCTCCTTCCATCACACATCTTTTCTTTGCAGATGATATCCTTTTGTTCATGAGGGGACATAGAGATGAACTAGACAACCTGAATGCAATTATGCCAACTTTTCAAGAAACTTCAAGTCAACTAATTAATCTTGAAAAATCTGGGATTTATTTTAGTAATAATTTCCATCAAAGACATCAGAGAATGATCCGTTGTCAACTCCATATCCAAAACTTTTCTTCAAATTCCAAATGTCTGGGCCTACCCTTACTCTGGGGTCGAAATAAGCATTCTCATCTTTCTTATATTTTAGACAATTTGAAAGCCAAACTTAATCACTGGAAAGCTATGGCAATAAGTCAAGTTGGCAAAAGGGTTTTGATCCAATATGTTCTTTAAGACACGCCAACCTATACTATGTTAGTAATCCAGCTCTCTTAGAAAACCATTAATTGTATAGAACAAATCATAAAAAACTTCTGGTGGGTCAAATTTGATTCTAATCCCCATCCTTTCCATTGGAGTCCCTGGATATCACTAGCTATTCCTAGATCTTTTGGAGGCTTAGGATTTAGAAATCCGAAACTAATTAATCTAGTTCTTCTCAAAAAGCTTGTTTGGAAGTATCTAAATGAACAACATAAACTTTGGGCCCAAATTTGGAAATCAAAGTATCTGCCCACTAATTCTCTCTTTCCTTTTACTATCCCTACTCACAGCTCGCCTTTTTGGAAATCAAATGGGCCTAAATTACAACTCCTTTTTCAAGAAGTAGGATTCCTAGTTAAACCTTCTTCTTCAGAATATATTGCTAATATGCCTTAGATTCAATGTAATGACAATTTCTACATGTTACCTCAGCCTACCCCTCATCATATATCCCAACTCCAATTTAACGATCTTATTCATCGGGATAGTTGGGATACTTCCATTGTTTAGCAATATTTTAATTCGGATCAAATTCATCTCATTTGTCAAACCCCTATTTACTCATCTCATACCCCTCTTTCTTGAGTTTGGGCGAAACACTCTTTAGGTAAATTCTCCACAGCAGCAGCTTATAGAGATTTAATTCAAGATGATCTCCCAAATATCTCAAATAATCTCAAGAAGTGCTTTAAATGGATTTGGAAACTTCCCTACCCACCTAGATATCAATTATTTCTGTGGTGAGTTACTCAAAACTTCATTCTTGTTAAAACTCGGATCTTTAATATCCAGGACCAATCTTGTGTTTTTTGTCAAAATCATTCTGAGACTCTTTATCATCTCTTCCTAGATTGTGCCTTTACTAGATCTATCTTATTTGCATCTCCTTGGAATATCATATCAATTTATCCCATTGTTCAACTTGGTAGGATTGCATTCTTCATCTCCATAACCTTTTCCCAAAAATAAACAATTTATTAAAATCTCTAAGTTGGTTTGCAATAGCTCTTTACTATATTTGGTTTGCTCGAAATGAAAAATCTTTCAAAGATATAGTTGTTTTAAACCATTGGATTTTATAGAAAATCAATACCATTTTTAACAATCTTTTCTCTTAACAATGATTCTCAAAATTTAACCCCAATTTCAAGCAATCAATTGACAATATCTTTGCAGCCACATATAGATGGAATTATTTTCACAGATGCAGGGAAGATATCTACTCATGAATTTTGCTTTGGAAGCATTCTCCTCAATCCAAATCTGGAATGTCTTCAAATCTAAGGAGGAAGGGAAAGCTTACATTTAGTAGAAGCTACATAACGTTTTGCAATATACCAAGGTCTACTTCAGGCTGAGAGATTCAGAAAGCAACATGTTTTGCTCTTCTCAGATTCACAACTAGTAATACAAGCTCTTCAAGGGAAATGAACTATTCAATGGCCTCTTTTGCATCTATTAAGTCAAACAATCAGCCTCCTATAAACCTTTCAATTTGTGAAGTGTGATTATATTAATAGAAGATTTAATGGTATTGCACATCAAATTGCCTATACAAGTAAAAATCTCATTCAGGAGTTCTTTTGTTAGATACTTATCCTCCTGATGTAGATAACATCTCAAACTTTGTATCTTTCTCGGTTTCTTAATATAATTTCTATTTCATCTTTCAAAAAAAAAAAACATCAAAGAAAAAGAAAGAATAAAAAAACATGAAATATGATAAAGGGAAACAATAACTGAAAGTAAAGAAATTACTAAACAAGAATGTGTTTCAGATCTAAAGGTAAAAGGCAATGACTTCATTAGTCTAGAATCTCAAACACCTCAATCGATTCGGTCTCAAGGTAGAAGATAATGAGCAATGTCTCATTTGAAAGATATTTTTGACATTTTCAACAAATAACTAATTTAGGTACTGTAGTGACACGTTTGAAAGTTTGGGTACTAACTTGACACTACCCCAAAGTTTAGGGTACTAAAGTAGAAATTTTCCTATAATATTTATTGATTTTAATATATAAATTTTATATATTTATATTTAAAATTATATATTATATATGAATTTGTATATAATAACAGTAATTAATTTTTTATTTTTGATATTTAAAAAAATCAAAGTAGAATCGAATTAAATTCGAATCTCATCCGAGTACAATAGGATTCCAATTCGAATCCGAGTAATTCAAATTCGATCGGATTTAAATTTTGGATTAAATTTGGATGAAAACTTTCAACAATCGAATCGGATTCGGATTACGCTGAATCCGATCCGATTACGGCGCTATTCGTTAGTCGGTGCTGTGATATAAGTACGGTGAGGCAGCATATATAGTATGATACCGGTGAACTTGTAATCAATGAATCGGTATCATAAAATGATAACAATCAGGTGATATTTTATCAAAATTCAAGTGCGGGATTTTGATTGGTCAAAGCACTTCCGGTATCATGTATTTCCGGCAGCATAGATTCTCTCCCTTTTAGAAATTAGGGGAGGCGAACGATAGTTGCGCTCTCTGCCTCTCTCTCTCTCTCTCTCTCTCTCTCTCTCTAATCTTTTCTCAGCTCAATCGCCATGAAGCTCAGGGTAAGATGTTTAGAATCCAAGGAGACATTTAAGATCGAAACACCGTCTCCTTTCTCTCTGCAAGACCTAAAAAGTGCAATTAGCGGGAAGGTATCGTCTCTCCCTGAGACGTTGCACCTCTCCTTAAACAGGAAGGACAAGATCGATGATTCTTCTCCTCAAGCATCTCTCCAGTCTCTCGGCATCAACTCTGGAGATCTGATCTTCTACACTATCAACCCCAATGATTTCTCGTCTGAAACCCTAGTTCACACACCAACTACGCGTGGAAGCCCGCAAATTCAGGCAAGTACACCTTCTGATGTCCATCTCGAAGAGAAAACCCTGAAGCATCCAGAAGTTTTGCAAWCCCAAATTCATGATATCAATTCCAAAGAAACTCTAACACTACCTGAGGATCATCCACAGCAAGGAGAAGCCATGGATATTTGTGAAAATTTYAATGAAAAACCATTCGATATGGAAGATGTTGATGTCGACGAATCTGTCTTARTGGGGAATTCTTCTTCTGTTCCTTGCTTTTTGAGAAAGGTCCTTAAAGAGGATATTTCCAACGCGGAGAGCGGTCGTAAGCTCCTAATTATGGCCGTTCATGCGGTTTTGTTGGAGTCCGGGTTTGTTTGCTTCGGTTCTGCATCTGCAAAGAAGATTGATGGAGTTCATCTTCCGGAAGGATGGGCATCCATGTCTACTGCTGTGCGTGTACATTACACACTTCCCGATCTCTTGGTTTCTGGATGTGACGTTCTGGAAACCGTTATTTTGAAGTTTCAGACTTTGGGGAAATTTGTTAATGTTTATGGGTCTTTAACCACAAAGGGTTCAGGTGTTTATGGTCTATCTTTGGATGAATCGCGTTTTGTTCCGTCAATGAATTTTGTGTGGACAATTTGCAACTCCCAGAGTGGTGTCATCGACAAAGATGGTTCTTCTAAATCATCTCATGAAAAGGAAGTCTTTGAATTCTGGAAGCTAGTGAAAGATGGGCTTGCATTGCCACTCCTCATTGATCTATGTGATAAGACTGGATTGGATCCTCCACCATGCTTCATGCGCCTTCCGACTGAACTTAAGRTACGGGTATTGGAGTTACTACCTGGTGTTGATGTTGCCAAGTTTGGTTGTGTKTGTTCAGAGATGAAATATCTTTCATCGAATAATAATCTATGGAAGCAGAAGTTCGAGAAAGAGCTTGGACTCGGTGATATGGAGGGAATACAAGGAGGGGGAAATTGGAAAGAGAGGTTTTCTATATGTTGGGAAAGGAGGAGGAAGAGAARAGGGATTAAAACCATAAGAGAACAGCGCATCGTGCCAGAGAGACCACGTCCATTTGGGTTYCCATACTTCCCTGTGAGGAGAGACCCTGTTCCCTTTGGGGTTCCTCGTATTGTAGGAGGTGATTATGACATGCTCCCAGGTTTCGGTGCTCCTGTTCCTTTTGGATCCGCTCGAGATTTTCCKCGGTTTCCTGCACGGAGAAACTTCTCACCTCATTGTAACTTCCGTGGATTTAATGCTTAATCTAGCACCTTATGGTCTCTTATGCTCTAACTGCGTAATCTCTTCATCCTGTTGAGCTTGTTGTAAGGTGAGGGTGAGAGTTGCTGCCYAGGTACTCTATACCAGTGTCAGATATAGGTATTGATAATTATGTTCTTATCTACCGGATTTTCTACAAGAAAACAGAATGGATCCTACATTTCGATCTGCAATTTTCTATATATATATATATGGATGAGTCATTGAACCCCAACTTAAATGGCAGGATCTGTCTGCTAGTACTGATGGCAATGTAAATATTTTTGAAGCATTGTTGTTTATAATACATAAATAAGTCACCTTTCCTGGTAATGTAAATATTTTTTGTGCATATATGTTTTGATTCTTAGCTCTAAATCATTTTCTTGCCAACAGATWCAAGTTTGTATGCACAATCTTTTTTTCCTGGGTTCAAATTTCAAATATGGAAATAGATGGCCATTTACACATGTAACTGTTATTTCGTCAATCTAGCAATAGAGATGTCAATTTTTGTGAACAAGATATGGAGTTGCCTTGGAATTTTTGCATTGAATAAGTGCCAAACGATGAAAATTGAAAAGTGGATGGAATGGAAATCCAGACCAAGGTTTTCGCCTTACTTTCTGAATGCATTAAACTTCATTACATTCACAGAGTGATCTCTACTTCAAYCCTTTTTCTAATATCAAGTATCAACAGAAGACTAAGCTATGATTAGCATTATCGGCTGTCCTGTGATGACTGATGATACCTATACACTTGGCCATTTTATCACCATGCCAGCAGGTTCTGTCGCCACTTCTCCCTTTCTGTAKCTAGGTTGTGATCATAGTGACCCAAAATAGGGCCTACTACCAGCAGTATTTCAGTCTGCATGTCCAAGTGCCAAGCTCTCAGTTGACTGGTGATTTCTCTTTCCCTGTGTTCTTTGGTCTTAGGCTCTTAGCTATGATAGAGATACTCAAAAAATAAAGAAATAAATAATAGTTCTGTTTAAACTCTGAAAGGAATCACAATGGACTATTAACTTTGGCCATCAAATTTTTTAATTTTGTTTCCTTTGCTATTTACATCCAAAAAAAAAAAAAATTGTGAAGGGACGGGAAAACAATGCTCTTTATCTCCGTATTAAAAGGATCTAAATGATAGCCGAAATATTTCACACACACACTCAAAAAAAAAAAAAAAACCCTTACATCCAATTCACAGAGAAACAAGCACAGCCTTGACTGATAAAAAATGCCCTTTATCTCTCTATTGATACTACATCTGGTGGGATCTAATTCTGGAATATGCAGAAATGAGTCGATATTTTAACGACTGCCTGTTACGGCAGTAATCATGTAATGAGTAATGACTTTTCGGAGTTAGAAATTTATATCTTCATAGAGACATGTTAATTAAGGCTTTGGAGTGACAAATGACAATTCRGAGCTGTAGCAGGAGTTTATATTTTGAATAACTTCAATAGATATATAATTTTGAGTGGGAGACCTGGTGGATTTCTAAACCATCAATTTTGATCATTCCCGCTGCATTTGGGTATGCAAAAGGCCGGTTTTGTATTATTCCAAGTCACTAAGCTGAATAGTAACTATATGTTTTCCTTGTTTTCCTGATTCACTTTATCCTGGGTTCTGGTTTGAGAAGCTGATTCCTTATTCCATACCAGATTGAATACAATCCTACTACTATGCTAGGACAAGCCCGTGGTCATGGGTTAGGGCTGCAAATTTGGACTGGGAACTGGGCTAGCCTGAAGTCACGTTGGGTTATGGACAATTTTAAGTTTAAACGCCAAGATTTTTTTAATGTAATATAAATACAGTACTCGTGAATTACCATCACTTTGTTCATGGCTCAGTTTGGAAGGAGTACAAACACATATTTTGTATTATTTTGAATGTATTTGCACTTTATATATTTATATTTGTACTCCTTCCAAACTGAGCTATATGTACTAAGCGAATTTATCTTGATTGAAGAACTAGTCCGATCACAATCCAACCTAATATGAAGGAAAGGGTCGGGAGTTAAACAAGTTGGGTTGGATCATTATTCACCCAAACCTGATTTAACCCGGCCCGACCTGAGCCTGACCTATACCCCTCCTGAGGGGGTCGAGGCAATTGCTAATTCTGATTTGTAGCGCTATTTAGACTACTTTGGCTACGATGGTTGTTATGATGCAATGCATTTAACCCCATATTATTTGATGCTGGATTGTTATTGAAATTCTTGGAATGTGGGGACATGGCTATAAGATTTTCTTTTTCACAACTTTGTCTTGTTAGGTTTTAATTTCTGTTAAGTGGGCTTATATATTCAGTGAAACAATTGCATTGATGGGCTATCTTGTAAGTGGGCTAAATCAAGTGATTTATTTATGCAAAGCCCGTAGACTTCAACAAAAGGGCATTGGGGCTTAATGAGTGGATACCACATTTTGGCCCATATAGGCTTAATGGGATCTTATTAGGTCAAAATATAAAGGCTCCTAGGTTATGGTTCCCGATATGTTAAATCATCTAGCCGCCCTCCTTGTTCTACTCCATTAGAGTCAAAGAGCTGAGAAAACCTAAGGAAGAAGGAAGATTTAACTGAGGAAAACCACACCAGTCGACCAACCATTGATTCATCATTCATTTCGCAAGGGTTTCAGCTACTGCGATGGATACAAGTATTTACGTTTAAACCTCCTTGATAACTGCAGCATGATATTCTTTGGGGTGCAAAATGGCTTCTTGTTCTTCGTATATTGAATGGTATTGATATGATTCTGCAAGATTAAGGATTGTTTGCTCCCCCTTTTTTATTCTTACATGTCTTGGCTCATGGGGCTTATGCTTCAATTGGGTTTTGGGTATTTAGGTCAGGGTTTCGGTTTTCCTTTTTTTTTACTATGAATTTGTATCATTGGATCTTCGATTTAAGTGTTGAGTTTTTATTAATGTTGCTCGTTGTTTATTCATGGCTGATGAGTAATGCAGTAGTCAAGCTCTAATCTATATATATAAACGTGGTCCAGTGCACAGAACTTATAGCATACAATTTATATATTTATATAGGTTGTAATCCACCATGATTGCAATGGAGAAGGCGAGAGTTTTGATTGCCATCTACGTGATATGCACTCAAGGCCTAGTGTAGTGTATAAAAACCTCGAATGGCTCGAAGAAAAGGGAAACGGAGGTACTGTTGGATAAAGAGAAAAAGAAAAAAAAGGGAAAGAAAAGCTTTGTTTAAGACACCGAGAAAGATTCGTGGAGAATGGCATGGCTGAACCCTGAAGAGTGAAGACCAAGTTGGGTGCGACTATTAAAGTAAACATTATTGTGGGTGGTATCGATAGTCGATACGTGCGTGGAAAAAGAATGAAAGAATGAAAAAAAGAAAAGTAGGGAAATGCTCAGGTAGGTTACTAGTTAGTAGAGGAAGGACCAACTGATGACCTGATCATCAGTGACCACACCTGGGTGGTCTAAACTCTGAGACGGTGCTTGGTATTGTGGTAATTGCACGTCCGTTTCGAGTCTATGTAAGTACCATGTATGAGTTTATACTTCAACATTCAAAACATATACTTAGTTAGACCGTTTTAGGTGATAAACGAATAGAAACAGAAACACCTTAAAATCTGCATAACTCACAACCGCTCAAAATACAGAGACGAGTATTTCTCACAATGATGAGGTAATGTGCTTCCTCCATCGAGGTATTGTGGACAAAGCCATTTTGTGGCTGTTTCTGCTGAGGTATTGCACTGCAGTTTTCTCCAGAAAATACCTCACTCGAAACTGCCACGGTATCAAATACCTGCTAAAGTGCAGAATGCTAAGGAAAGGAATAAATGTCACATGCCATGATCCGTAACCGAATGAATTCGGGTTTGCATCATAACCGTTTTCCTTGGCAACTCGCAACAACCAGTCACTATTCACAAGTCGCAAGACTCACAAAGTCAAGAAGTCACAACCACCCAAGTGTTTTTTTGACTTGCTGGCCTGGTATCAGTCTTGCTTTTGCAATCCACACAGGCACAGATTTGTTTGTATGCATCAAAGTTCAAGTTCGGGTGCAGCTAGCTGCAACAGTTTCATCTCTAACTGCGCATGCGCGGTACCATATATATTAACCCAATAAATAAGTTTAAGTGGGGTCAACGAACCGGCGCAGCGGGATTTTATTAGACCAGCTGCATCATCTTCATCGGAAGGCACCTATCCGATCCCATATTTGTCTGGTCCGGCCACGGTTGCACTGCAAAAATCTGGATGGTAGAACTCTCAAGGGACGTTAGACGTACATCTCAATGACATGATCCAAAGACCAAAGCGGATTTGGACCTGGATCCAGGTGGGTCTGCTGAAGCTCCGACCTGTTATACGTCGGTCCTGCCATAAATTCGGAAACTTTAATTTGGAGGGGGGAAGGGGACGTTGAAAAGCTACATCTCCGGGGTTTTTGAGTAGCTTCACCTAAGATTCCTTCCTAAAGCAAAACAATAATATATATATATATATATATATATATGGATTTTTGAACTACAATCCCCCTCAAAAATCTGAATTGCAAAACCTGTTGGGTATGTGTGAGTTGTCAGCACCATTTGCTTTATTTTTTGGTTGGAAGCATTGTTCCCATATAGACTGCTTTTTTGGGAAAACAACACTGGTTTAGAACTGGTTTCAGCATTGGTTATATTATCAAACATCTAAGATGATGCCACATCATTGCAATGCTGGCAATAATGAGCTGTTTTCTGAGAAAACGCTAAATTTGACTTTGCTTCAGACCACACTTTCCTGATTTTTAAGACATGGTCTGAAGCAATGTTTTTTATGGAAAAACGGTGCCAAATAAGATGCCATTTTCTAAACTAATGTGGTGCCTACATGAGACTGCTTTCTGAAAATGGCATTGATGCCCAACCCCCAGATAGCTCCTGACGAGCTTCTTACCTGCAAAATTCAAGTATTTTAGGTTTATTAGACATGTATTTACTTTTTTTAGGAATAGTGTATAAATGTAATTTACATTTTCTATTATGTATGCTTTCATTTTCTTTTTCCTTGTTTTGCTTCATGGTAGGTGTGTCAATGGACAAATTATATCATTCTAATTTTGTGATTTTATCTTTCATTAATAATGGTTGGTTTTGGTTTGTGATTGTTATAAATTGATTATTGAGTTACTTATATATAAAGGTTTTCTAGTTTTTTTTTTTGTAATTTTTAATTTTTATTATATTTTGTTTCCAAGTATAAATTTGATGTATAATATATAAGATATAATTTTTTTTAAAAACACTTTATTTATTAATATATATATATATATATATATATATATATATATATATATTGAATAATTACTATTTTACTGACAATTTTATTAAAGTTATAATTATATTATAAAAATGAAGTCTTAAGTTCTTATTAACATGGATAATTATTACAAATGTTCTTATAATTAGTTAAAGAATGATACACCTTATCCTAAACCAGATCCGACCCATTGACACCCCTATTCATAGCGCTACACAAGTGGGGGTAGGGTTTATGGATGTTCAACAAAAACTGAAAAAAGAAAACCGAACTAGAAAATCTAACTTTACCCAACCAATTGATTAGTGTTTTTCAAAAAAATGGTGGTACCGGTTCAGTTTTTGGTTTACCTAAAACAAATCGGTGGTTAACCAAATTGATTGATATGTATTACATATAATATTTTTAATTGTCTATTTATAATATATTAAATAAATTGTATATTATATATTTACATCATTTATAATATATTGTATTATATATAAAATATTTATAGTGTTATATTATATGTTGATATATTTTTAAAATATATATTGAAAATATAAAAATTCAAAAAAAAATTGCGAACCGAACTGATCAACTAGTATGTGTTTGGTTCCATTTACATTATTTCATTCAATGTTTATACTTTATTTGCTTGTAAAATCACTTGTAAAATCAAGAAAGGTAATAATTACAACCGTTTATAATAACTAGTCTCCACATCATCATAATAATGAAAAAACACCTAACCATTTGTGGAAGCTTTAAAAAATAACTTCCCCAACAGTAGGTGTGCACAAAAACCAAAATTCACTTATCATTTTTAATGAGTACAGAAAAGCAAAAAAAGTAAACTACTGAAGTGATGCCTATATGATAGTGTTTATTGAATAAATGCCCACGAAACCAAACACCCTCTTAATCAACCAATTGGTTTTCGTTTAATTTCAATTCCCCATTTTCTCAAAAACCGAATATACCAGTTTAGTTTCAAAAATTAACTCATGATTCAATTCAGTTAACTGAAACGTAAGCACCCTTAATAGGGGTTTCCTATCTCCCACACCTGTAACCTCACCAACCTTAAGGGAGATTTGATCCCAAATCTCCATACCTAAGCGAGAGAACTTATCAACTGACCCACCAACATTTGGTATGTTTGCTTTTCAGTTGTAGAATTTTAATTGTTATGCAGAGGTTCAGACCTAAAACTTACAGTGTTTGGATTTTCATCTGTTTTTTTTTTTTTTTTTAATTTTTCCTTTTTTTGATAGCCTTCTTTATCCACTCAGCATAAAAGTGGGGTCTAAACATTCTAAGTCTAATTGGAATCAATGGGAAAGATGCCCATTCAACAAAACAAATGGGAAAGGCGCCCCTCTGAACTTTTTTATCTCCCAAATGCTTTGTTCCGAATTCCGATGCCAATTCTCAACCGGGTCTTTCAACCCGACCGGAGTCAGCACAACCTGGTACTTCTTCACAAGTGATTCCACTTTCCTTAACACCGGCATTCTTCCTAACGTTCCCAGACTCGGGTTGAAGTGCTAAAGTTAAACCGACTGATCCTTCCAAGTTCCAAATGCAACTATTTCTGGTGGGTGACCAAGAATCTGGTTGGCTGGTTTTTCTGGTTCGGCAGATCTCACAAATGGACCCACGGTCCATTCCATTGGYCAGGATGCCCACCACGTATTTGGTATAGAATCTGTGTCTCCCTAGTTGTTCAAGTCATTCATGTCCCCCATAATCCAACCCAAGTCCCAAGGTGCCAGCCATTAGTTCCATTCATGAATCTCAAAAAGAAAGAAACCCAAAGATGAAAGATGGTCCCTGTCATTATTGAACTGAGCTTTCCAAAGATGGTTCTCAATTTTCTCAAAATTCGGGCTCCCAAAAGAGAATTAAGGTAGGTGGTGTTTGCCATATCGTTCGTTACCTTGGAGCCATTTGCAAAGCAAGTAAGCAACTGGTTTAGCTTTTGCTCGTAGAAATTTTTTGCTTTTTTACTTTTCACATTTCAATGTTTCGCATCATAATTCATTTGGTAGCTTTTGCTCGTAGAAACTTTTTGCTTTTTTACTTTTCACATTTCAATGTTTCGCATCATAATTCATTTGGAGTGTAACAGCAACGCTATAAGTCAAGCTATTGTTTCTAATAATTAATTCTATCCCCTACACTTACAGAAAATTGTTTTGTCTCTGCTTGTTGTTTCAAATAGATTCCAAATTTCAGGGCTGTGATGTGACAATCCTCACTAGACTATATATGTCACTGCGAAAAAACCCTTGATGCGCTTTTAGGGACACAAATTTCCATTCTCCACTGGGCCAAGCTGGGCCCAAGTCTTTTTATGTCCCAGAACAGCTGTAGCTGAATCTGATTTTGGGCTGGACCAAAGTTGCTATCAATGCCTGCCTCTGCCTCAATGTTGATATCATAACAAACACTAACACAATTATATTTATTCCATCTTTATTCGTAAATGTGAAGGAATTAACAAATCGGGCCATGCCCAGTTCATCAGTCCAACCCAAAATCGGACTACCAACCAACCGCTTTCAGAGGGTAGGGACTAGGGACAAAAAAACACAGAAAACCCACCCAGCACTTTGACAATGTACTACTGTAGTAGTAGTAGTAGAACACTAGAACCCCCGCTGCTCACACAACCATGGTCCATGGACCGAAGTCTGATTAGAGTTGGTTGTACGGTGTAAAACAACCAATGATACTATGCGATAAGACCCAGGAGAAGAAGCTGAGTACTATCTTCATCACCATCGATCATTCCCAGATACGATTCATCTTAATTTAATTGGACCACAACACAGTCACCGATGCAAATATTCCACATGCAGATTGACCGCTAAATCCGGTGGTTTTGCATGTTCCAGCGAGATTAAGAATTGACCAAGAAATGTCGTTTGACCATGCATAGCATTAGCAACCTCCAACCACAGCTGGAGCCATTGAGCCAAGGACAAGGAGGTAAAATAAACGATACGATTCTTTACTGTTTTCGGTGGCAGTGAGCGAACCAGAGATCATTCAGAGATGCAGTAAGAAAAGAACAAAAATAAATAAACGACGAGATATCATGCATTTAGCACTACACGTGTACCCATCTGCACCATTATCCAGTGGGCCATACTTTCCGCATCCCAATCTGGTCTACCGAAGGAGTGGCTCAGATTAATGAGCAGACGCATTGGGGTTCCATGATGTGAAGTGTCAAGTGCCTCTCTCAAAAAGAAGAGAATGGGTTAGTTGGCAGCCAGGAAAAAATATGAGTGTAGAACAGCAGGGCYTGTTTGATAGTTGGCATTTGTGTCAGTAAAAGATGTGTAGCAAATAGCAACTAGCAAGCAAGCTTGGGGTTGAAGAGAAGAACCAGAACCTCTTCACTCTCTCTCTCTCTCTCTCCAAAGATCTCAATAAAATAAGTGAAAATATTTCAGTAACCAAAAAGTTGGATTGGGGAGGAAAAGAGGTTAGGTTTTGAGATATTTTAGCAGCAGGAGCAGTTGGCACTTGGCAGTGGTTAGTCTGTCTTTAGAATCATACATTTCACCTGTTTAGCTTTCGCAGGTAAGCAAGCAAAACCCCCCCTCTCATTCTCAACGATCTACATTTCCTCTTTTACTGATTCTGATTTCTGCATATAACCCGGTTGGTGATTTGGGGTCTTTTATTTTTGTATTACTAGATTTGGACTAGCAATTGATGCGCTGAGGGTTCTATCACACACCCATTTAGGGGATATGTAACGTAATGACCTCCGCTGCAAGCTTGGAACTCCACTGAATTACTTATTCCATTTCCCTTGTAATTGAACTAGAGTAGGTTTTTTTATTTATTTTTAGAGTAGCTTTTTTGGGAAAATCTCTAAAGGGTTTCTGCCATCCTGAATTCTGATACTGCCCTTTTAGCTATTGTTGAATTTGAAGTCTGAAACTTTACCAACCCTATAGCATTACTAGCGTTTCTGTTGGATATTACTTTCAGCATCTGTCTTTGGTTCAAGTTTCATATGCTCCTCTCTTGGGGTTGAACAACGGAGTTTTAAGCCTATCTGGATTGAGTCCATGGTTAATTGATTACGGGATGCTGATATTTCGTTTCTTTCAAAAATAAAAGAAAAAGGGAATCTGCTTTCCCTTTTTTGTGAGTTTGGTGAGCTGTTAACTAATGCCATTCTTTTCTTGTTTGTCTCCTTTATGCTCTGAAAGGTTCACTTTCTTGTCTGTGGGGCTTTTTTTTTTWWAAAAAAAAAGAAACATTAGTATAGACCTGATTTAGGGTTTCAGAAAGCAGAGGTAAGTTGCTGCTGCTGTGTAGATTATATGCCTGGTGCACTGGATTTCGCCTTTTCCTTTGTGTATATAGGATGCTGTAACTGAGGCCATCTTTTGCTTTAATCTCTTCCTTGCTCTATAAAGCTGCCATGGTTACTTGTTCCTTGTTGAGTCCTGCAAGAAATTACCAGCTGTTTTTAGTCAAACCCACTTTGGCTTTTACTTACAGAGCTTCTATTTTAAGTTAACTTGCTATTTCAATTGCATTTCCTGGTTTTGGGAGAAACTCTGAATTAGGGTCTCTTTTTTTATTTTTTCGTGGAATAGGTTGAACTAAGTATATTGTTTTGAACTTATTAGTCTCGTTTAGGGGACATGGGTGCTGGTGATAACGGGAATCTGGGGTTCCAACAGAGAGGTGGAAGTCTTTTAAATTATCCATCTTCAGGGATGATGTACATGCCTGAGAAGGTTGTTGGGATGACAATGAGCACGATGCCCATGTGTAAACCTTCCAATCTAGTAGACTCATCATTCGGTTCTGCTTGGGATCCATTTGTTTCACAGGCACAGAACGTGGAGTTTCAAGCTTCTTCAATGGCATCTCGTCAAATTGTTACTTCTCACTATGGTGTTGGCTCGCTGGAAAACCAAGAAATCAGCACTGATCCTCGCCTTGTTCAGTTTCCATCTGATGCTAACCTTGTTAACCTAGTACCCAAGTTACCATGCTTCGGCAGTGGGAGCTTCTCTGATGTGGTTAGTTCCTTTGGTTTGCCTCCGTGTGGCCAAATTGTTAATTCCGAGTGTCCTTCTGATTGCCCTTCCTCGAATAAGGAGAATGGTACTGAGATAACCTCAACAAGTCCAAGGGATGGTGTTCATGCCACGGTCTTTCAGGAAGACCACCACCATATTTTAGACGAGGGAACTGGGGGGCCTTCACCTAATGGAAAGAAAAGGAAGAGAGTGCCTGAGAGCCATTCTCAACTTGATCCCAGACAGGTAAGCTATGTTATATTTTTATGGTCTTTTATTTTCAAAGATGCTAGTTTTTTTATTGTTTAATTTTTATTTATTTTCGTGGGTAACAGAGTGAGATTGAACCGCAAAGAGAAGTTTCACAGGAGATACTAGTTGGTCCCAAGGAGCAGGACGACAAAAAACAGAAAAAGGAGCAGAATGCAGGCACTAATTCGCGTTGTAAGTTAACAGGTAAGCAAGCTAAAGACCAGTCCCAGAATGGGGAAGGTCCAAAAGAAGATTACATCCATGTAAGAGCCAGAAGAGGCCAAGCTACCAATAGTCACAGCCTGGCAGAGAGGGTGAGTTTTTATTATGAGTTATCCGTGCTTCTCATGGTGGAACTTCCTTGTCTTTCTTCAGATTTTGAGCATGTGTGTCTCAATATATAGGTTCGAAGAGAAAAGATCAGTGAGCGGATGAGATATCTTCAAGATCTTGTTCCAGGATGCAACAAGGTACTTTAAGGGTTTAAATTCTGTATTTTTGTGCTTGTGAAAGCTCCTATTTAGCTGCTTTTGACTTTTTAATTAAATTGCTGTCATCTACAATTATAGATTACCGGGAAGGCAGTAATGCTCGATGAGATTATCAATTATGTGCAGTCACTACAACGGCAGGTTGAGGTATGCTACATTCTGAAAGCCAGGAGGTTTATATATTATGAGAAAAGTATAGTCCATGAACTCATCTGTACCCTTACCAAGGAAAGAAGGGAAGAAGAAAAAGAAAACTCCACAGAATATGGACATCTAGACTAACTGTTCAGCACATAATGATCCATATTCCGAAAATCAATTCCACTAGATGCCACTGATAGCTGTTTTATCTGTCATTTTCGTTCTTTTTTATTCAAACTCTTGAACCAATTTCTGAGCCATCCAAGTTTCAGCACTAAAATGAAAGGCGTYCACTTGATCTTTTGGTTCTAGTCCATGGGAGTTAATTCCCTGACAGAATATGAAGCTTTTCTTTAATGGGAAATGATATCCTATCTTCCATAAGTTGATCACTTAGCTTCTGTTGCTCAGCATTTACTGACCATTTGGATGTGGACTGAGCTCATATCTGCTGCGACCATTGTACAAATTCTTGCAATTGCCCAATAATACACAGACATGATTCCATTTGTTTTAAAATTTAAAGAACCGGGTGATCTGCTTTTTTATTAGATCACCAGTTTGTCCTTGTTTTGTTCAGCAGTCACAAGAATATTCCCTGACCATGGTCGCAGCAGATGCTAAAACACAAGCGGACCACTGCAAGGTCAGTTAATAGTGTTTTAGCTCTCTTTGCCCAAGTATGGAGATGATTTCTTTATGATGGACCTATTGTTATATTTTCCGTGTCATACTATGCAAAATTAAAGGCTGATCCTTAGGATTTTCTTCACGTTTTCTTTTTAATAACTGGAATCAATAATTTAGCTTATCAAGTTGTTTATCAGAAAAGAAAGTTTGTTTCGTAATTTTATTGCCCAATTGTTGTGATCTAAAGGGAACTATATATTTTGTTTATGCAGTTTCTGTCTATGAAACTTGCCACTGTCAATCCCGAGATAAACATTGATATAGAACAGATTCTTTCAAAAGATGTAAGTAAGACTGAGGTAAATGCTAGATGTTCTATAAATAAAAGGTTAGCATAAATTTTCTAGAGCTTGTTACGAATTTTATCAAGTTCATTTCACTGTAGATTCTTCATTCGCGGGGTGGCAGTTCAGGTATTCTTGGATTTGCTCCAGCAATGAGCTCTTCTCTTCCACAACAACACATCACTCAGCCGGATGGAGCCTTTCTAATCCAGGGTTCAAATCCACAGTTAACCACCATGTCTCAGGTAAGCTGAAGAATCTACTTTTCCTTTTTCCTTCCACTCCTCTTGTTTCTTGGTCAGAGAAAATGATTCAAGGCCTCTTACTACAGGCACCTAGTGCATGGGAAGATGAGCTTCAAAATGTTATGCAATTGGGGTTTGTTCCTAATCCAACTGTGGACAATCTTGGGCAGAATGGTAAAAGAAGGGAAACAGTTGGTTTTTGATTATTTTAAGTACAACTTGGATTTATCCTGAAGGTATTTTACGTTTTGCAGGCTGCATGAAGGTGGAGCTATAAATGTGAGTTTTGAAGGGAAGTTGCATCCCTTCTAACAGGAAGCTTCAACCAGTCTTCATTTAATTACACACTTTCACTACAAGATCAGTAGGAAAAAAAAAAAAATTAAGAAATTCTTCGGAGCTGTATAGTCCATTGCTCCTAACAATTTGTTCTTCGAGTTTTAGCAGAAGAAGGTGACTTCATAGGCACAAACCGTGTATAGTCAGACAGCATAGATGACTTGATCGGGAGAGGTGGTTGTTTTCATGGATGTTATAGTATAGAGGTTGTATTTGATATGCTTTGTTAGAGTTTTCAGAATCTGTAACAAATAGATTGTTAATAGAGTGCACCAAGTTAAGAAATGCGTTTGAAGCTCATGGGTCCATTGTGAGAGGTGATTGTTTTCATGGGTGTTAATAGTATAGAGGTTGTATTTGATATGCTTTATTGGAGTTTTCAGAATCTGTAACAAAAAGATTGTTAATAGAGTGCACTAAGTTAAGAAATGCGTTTGAAGCTCATGGGTCCATTGTGAGCTTGATTTGGGGTGCATTTCATCTGTTGAAAGCCTAGCTTTATTGTACTACAATAAGAGTGTAGTATGAGTTTCTCCTATTATGTTTGTTTGTGTTTAAAGACCTCTAATGCAAGTTGTGTTTGTACTGGTATACAAGATGCTTACGTCAAGATTAATGAATGAGATTTGGTTTCAAGTATTAAAGTTGTGCTTGCTTCGAGTTTTAGCTTTCTTCCCATTGTATTCGTAACATAGCCCGCATGCGATTCATTGGGATCCATCCATTTCAACGAGCGCAAAACTTAACGTTATGGTTTAAGCATTGGATGGTTTAGATTATTCATTGATAAGCGACATCCGACATGCATGGTACAGGTTGAGAGTTTCAGTTCTTTATTCCGTGTCGCTCAGATGATCTTTTTCTGCTGTCATTTGCTCAAGTTTTGATTATCCGTCGGTGCGGCTTTGTGGGCTTTGTGGCTGTGTTCCTTTGATATTCTATTATTATTATTATTCTAAGCATAAGCAACCAACATTGCTGGTAGCCTGGTATGCTGAACTCCAGGTTTTATTTGGACATGGATAATTGGGGARAAGAAGTTGAAGATGAGCAATCATCTCCCCATGAATTTAAATATACATGTATTGAAGATATTATCAATGTACAGTTTGAATGTAATAGTAGCATCCTGTTATACATTGAATATACAACGGGATTCCCTACAATAAAAAACTCTGCCTTCGGAAAGTAGGGGCATCCAAATGGGATTCCCTACAAGCAAAATCTCCACAAACTCTAAAAAAAAATGCAAATTTAGTTTTACATTGGCAACATCTCCCATGAATTTGATATATATGTATCAAGGATATTTCCAATGTATGGCTTTATGATATTTGTGCAGTGTTTTTACTTGCAGGAGATCCAGGCTCAATGGTAACATCTCCATATGAATTTTACATCCATCAAAGAAATTCTCCATGTGCAATTGGATAGTGTGCACAGAGTTTTTGCTTGCAGAAGACCCAGATTTAATGACAGTTTGGATTCCAAAAAATAATAATTTAATTTTCCTCTCTCGGTTATCTTGCCCACAATGAAAATTCAAAATGTAGTCTCATACCACACATTATGTTTGTTTGAGAAGGCAACATTTGAGTTAGAAACAGCAGTCTTTAGGTTGTAATGCTGCTATGAAGAACTAAAGATCGAAAATCGGAATTAATACTTCGATGAAGTGTTAATGTTAAACAATACACAAGATCCTAGAGCTAGGAAGGCTGAAGGCATCACGAGTTGAAAACTAGTCTTAAGCTAATAAGAGGAATCAAACAGTTATGCTCAGCTTCAGGCGGCATAACCAAACTGGGTCTGCCGAGCTACACTGATTACGAGGTATTCAACAAATAACATTGACCACTGAAACTGAAAGTGTAAATATATTTTGTCATCCAATTTGCTTAAAGAAAGGGGGGGGGGGGGACTTATCTGATTAGGTGGGAAGTGTTTTTAGGCTTCTTAGCCTCTTAAGATACGTTTGGTTTGTTAGAATAAGGTGTCTAGAATTAGGTTCAAATTTTGATTGGATGAAATCTGAATCTCATTTTTATTCTTGGTGGAATATCAATCCTTCATTTGAGGAAATGGCCATTTCCTCCCCATCCCTTAGGAATAAGAATCCATTCTAGACGATTCCGAGATAGGCAGTCTCTGTATTTCATGAAACCCCCCTTATAAGTTTGGCTAGAAAGGTGTTTTCTGAATCAATAACGGAGATCTAAGCTGAATTATAAGGATTCAATCTCCCAATTATTGGATTGGTTTTTTCTCAACTCTCGAAACCTACATTGGCTATCCACTCATAGGGGATGTAAGTCTGTGTGTCTTCTTTTCTTGCTTCTTTTTATCACTGTTCTTCTTTCATTTTTTTTGGGTGCCATTCGAATCTGCATTTTTGGGTATTACCAACATAAATCATAAGACCTTTCTTTACAAACCACATCCACTTAGGGGTGACCATGGCCCGGGCCAGGTTCAGCAGGGCCTATGACTGTTAAGAGCCAATCCATCTACTTGTCCCTTGGACCAGCATCTTACTAGTCCCCACCAATAAAAAACCTCCACGCAGCAGCCCAGCCTCTTAATTGAAAAGGTAACGGGAGTCCAGACTAACGGCAGTCTTGCACTCCAAACCAAATGAGATTTCAATTCTATTAAGACCTGTTGTTGAATTGATATTTTCTCCGGCATAACCAGGTATATCTCCCTCCAGTCTTCTCCTCATCTTCTTATTCTTCTTCCACAGTAAACCCACAAGCTTTCTCCGACATATTCAACTTCTCTTCTTTGTCTAATTTCTTACTCCCAAATTTTGCTTGGGCGAAAAGATTGCTGCTTATTTTCTCTCCATGTCTCGATTTCATGTGGGCATCTAAATACTCCCTGTTTTGGGTTGTAGCTATTTCACTGCAGTTAGTTTAAGGTGCATTTGTTCAAATGCAAGTTTGGGCAGCTAACTAGATTAATTTTAGGCCATGTTTGGTTCAATTCTCATTTTTTTCTCATTCTTATTCAAGATGAAATACTAAAATGAAAAAGAATGGGTAAAATTAGGCAGAATGAAAAAATATATCTATGAACCAAACACTTTTTTCGCAAAAACGAATTCTTTTCAAACTGAAGTGTGCTATGCTGCACATTTTCATTCTTAAAAAAAATAAAAAATTGTGTTGGTATTCACAAACCGCCAACCTAGGTCTCTAATAGTCAATGTTTACCGATTGGCATAGATGTTTTGTGAAATTACTTTCGTAAAGTGCTTTTATAAAAGTACTTTCATAAAAATGCTTTTATAAAAGTACTTTAATAAAAGTTCTTTTATAAAAATACTTTCCTAAAAGTGCTTTTGTACTTTCATAAAAGTACTTGGTAAAAGTATTTTTGTAAAAGTGCTTTAGTAAGAGTGCTTTCATATAAAAATACTTTTATAAAAGTAATTTGTAAAAGTTATTTAGCAAAAGTAAACATCTATAACAATAGTTATATAGGTAAAGTTTCCTCAAAGAATAAAATGAGCAAGATGGGACATGATTATTTTTCATGCTTTAGGCTAGTCAATTTTTGTGCTATGGGGCCGATTTTTCATTCTAAAAAGAATGTGGCCCTGGGCAAGAATTTTGTAACCAAACACTCTAATGTTATTTGTTCTTGCCCATTATTGCCTAAACTGAACAGAAATTAAGAGAATGAGGCACAAAGCAGTGAACCAAACATGGCCTTAGTTTCCTCATTTTCTTTTTGGTAATGGACAAAAATTTTGTAACCAAACACTTTAATGTTATTCATTCTTGCCTAAAATGAGYAAAAATTAAGAGAATGAGGACAGAGCAGTAAACCAAATATGGCCTTAGTTTCCTCATTTTTTTTTGGTAATGAGTTACCTCATTTGTTTGTAGGAATTTTTTGCCTGTTTGTTTTTATTGCTGATTGGTGTTCATTATTAGATTAGAATGAAATTTATAGTTAAAAATCTGAATTGAATGTGTATGTATTACTTTGATACCTAGATCTTGAATATGTTGAGGAATATTTTGTCAACGATTCCTTAATTTGTAAATTTATTATAAACGACTTATGGTGGTCTCTGTTCTTTCATCTTCTTTATATTTTATATTATATTATTTCTTGGTTTTGGCATTTCATTTAGTTTTCTCTTAAATAAATTATTTTGCTTTTCCTTATTTTTTTTAACTACTTCTAGAGAATATTAAAATAACGATGATATTTTTGCTCCCYAAGTCATTTTGCTCAAATTTGGAAACCAGTGTTCTATCTACTAAAAATCCAAAAGATTTAGACAAAAATGTTTACATTGTAGCATGGAGTAGAATGTATGAATATATTCAATTTTTTCTTTGGAATTTATATGGTGGATTTACTATGACTGAATATTGAGTATCTTGTTAATTGTAGAGAAATACAAAGAATGAGGAGTGCAACTTTCTTTCTTGGTGCAACCCAATAACATTTGGTGGAGAGGTTGAGGACTCGGATCATATTATGCAAAGGCCAAAAGGGTGGTTCGACAAGGTATTCAAGGATGATTGATTTAATTGAAGTGTGAAGTTAGAACATTAGAAGAGTGGCTTCAGGTTTTACATGTACAAGTTGAAGATTTTTGCAGGGAGACTGAAATTGTTAGGCGAGTAAAGATGTATTGGTATTTGGAAATGTTATTCTTTTTTTATTGTATGTAGTTGTTGCATTTATGAAAAAAAATGGTGACTTTTAAGTATATATTTGGTCGGTAGCGATTTGGGGTTATTCAACGAAGTATATTCAATATTTGATGCATTGACCACATGTATATGCAGATTTGACCAAGGCAGATGTCCCATAGGGGCAGGAGTTCCTAGGGAATGAACAATGGAGTTACCTATTTTATTTTCATCAACTATTATTTGACTCCATGGAATGACCTCCCTTCTTACTTGGTAAAGACAAACAGAGGGAACTATGAGGTTGTCTTCTTCCCATGGTTATGACCATATAGGTGGAATCGTGAAGGGTGAATCCCATTCCACTAGAGCCGTAGTGCTAAAGAATGAATCATGGCGTATAATTGTTCAATGTAAGTGAAATGGTTATGGTGAACATGTGCCTTGGTCAATTGTCAACACAAGTAAAATCATGGCATATAATGAGAGAGAGAGAGAGATTGCTTATTTTCCTTTTTAACTGAATTAAACATGTCTATTGCTCTCAGAGTAAGGCAAACAGAATTAACTCATTACTCATGAGTGTACCAATTACACCTGAATTAATTTCCATACTACCCTTTTAATAACTATTGGAGAAAAACACTCGTCTTCTATTCCAACCTCACGAACAGCAACAACAAAGATAGCTATTGCAGCGACGGCAGACTTCCGAAGTCCTCTCTCTCTCCTCCCCTTTCTTCTTTTCGATTTCTTCTGTTTTCCGTTCCTTGCAGCTCTAGGTAAGGAATTGGGATTACTCAAAAGAAGCTTATTGAAACAGGAAAACTCAGATCAACTTGAATCAAAGGCTGCACTCTTCAGTACTTCAACAACACGAACACCCATATTCTCAATTTCCCCGACTCTACCATATGTGGCAAAAGCAAGAACTACATTGCAATCACTTATCTGTTTATTAATTTCTGCAGGGCTGCTGAGAGG